TAGGGTATCAAAATCAAGAAGATTAAAAGGGCATTACAAATATATAGACGTAATCATTAATACATATTGGTAATAGATAATATTTAAATTGAATAAAAAATAATAAATTGGTATAAAAGTTTTTAATAGCGTAAAAATGGGCCATGTTAGTGTCGCACCTCGTGCTATACCCGACTCCTAGTCAAGGGTTATGTTTTTTGCGCGTTTATCTTGTATGTGTGTATATTTGTTTTTTTTTGGGTCTTTTTAGTGCATTTCCTTTAAATTGTCTTTTTGCAGTTGATTCTTTATTTTATCTTTCCTATTGTTTACTTTTGTAAGTGTATTCTTGTTCAGATGACGAACATTGATTAGTGAAGTTACCGGAAGCCCAACCTCCCCTTCTTGGAGGGGTTGGCATGCAAATAGCTTCCACGCTCGAGTTTCTAGTATCCATGGGCGGCGGTAGTCACTCACCATCATGGCCTCAATTTAGCTATTCTAATATTATATCAATAGACTGTCGACAGAATGTCGTCAGAATAGTTTTGCACTTTTCGTATTCTACTAACCATGTGAGACCAATGGCCGATGAGTTGTCTGCGTGCTTGACTGCCACTGTTTTTTGTTTGTCAATGGCATACAAATAGCGAGTCACTGGAATAACAGTGACTTGTAAGTTATCATAAAATAGCAGAATTGAGGCCTAGACGACCCATCTGCTCGTTTGTCCTCTATAACATAGAAAACATGCTTACTCTTGATTAGTATCACCCTAATTGTAAATTTCTATACATTCTATTAATTTTATGTACTAGTGTTTGAAATAACATAATATTTAAGTTATCAATGTAACAAAAAGCAGTCTAACAATTATCCTCTCTAAAATTTTTTTATTACATACCGATATATTGAAATTTATTATCAAATACATTTCAACAACTTCAATTTCGATGTACAAAACAAATCAGGTCGCTTTCGACAGAAATCCTCTAAAAGTTTATTCAATAAAGGCGAATGTACGAAATAATCTGAATAGCCGATATGCGAGTCGTTTTAGTTTTGGAACAAATAGGATTCTCGCTTGTTAGGTACATCGATTTACTGCAGTAAAACTATTAAGGTTTAAAATATACTGAGCATTTTTTTTAAATTACATCATGTCATCATCATAACCATATCGCCGTCCACTGCTGAACGAAGGCTTCTGACGTTCTTCAAACCTTTTAACTGCACGGATGACGTAGTGGTTTAAGCGGTCGGCACGCCGCTTCCTACTACGTCGAGTGTTGTGGGTTCAAACCCCACATTGGACGACACTTTGTGTGATCCACAAATTGTTGTTCATGAAATGAACACATTTTGTCCGTTTCATGTATGATTGTAAAGTCCCCCGCGACACAGGATATCTTCACAGGTCTTTAAACAAAAAAAGAGCGTACTACCACTTCAAAGGCTGGCAACGCGCTTGTGACTCCTGAGTTTCAGACGTTCATGGGTGGTGGTAGCTACTTTCCATCAGGTAACCCATCTGCTCGTTTGCGTCCTCTTCCATAAAAATAAAATTCAACCAGGAATACTCATGATGACATGTAGTTAGATTCTAAAACTTTTTAATCAAAAATGTGGGTAATCTGAAAATTATCATCATCATGTCATGTTTGTCATATTCACTACTAGCTTTTGTCCATGGCTTCGCCCGCGTTTATGTTGATTACCGCCCATGATATGAAAAAGTAGTCTATGTCCTTTCTCAAAAATCATACTATCTCCATAGCAAATTTTATCTAAATGGGTTCAGCGGTTGAAGCATGAAGAGGTAATAGACGGACAGACAGACACACTTTGGTATTTATAATATTAGCATAGATTGATATATGTACTCATATATGTAGGTATACCTCGTGACGCGACCTCCGCTGCCGCCAATATAAGGATACAGGACCTCGCGGTAACACATTTTTTGGCTTCAGCTCCTCAGTCAAGTCCTGCATACGAACGGTCGGACCTCGACACGAAGCCTCCAGAAGTCCTGCCCAGAGCCTATCTTTGTTTCTAACGTTAGCTGTATCTATAGCAGCTTTTTTAAATATTTAATCATAAAAATACGTGACGACGTATTTTTATTATTAAATACTACTACGAGTACTAATACTAAATTTTATGAATCCGAAAAAACGACCCGTTGGTCGTTTCTTCTGATCATTTTGATCTCTACATACACGATATCTATCTAATAAATACCTTTAAACTAGTAAGTCTTATATTATATGTATACACACATTTATATATATAATCTGAATCTCGGAAACGGCTCCAACGATTTTCATGAAATTTAGTATGCAGGGGTTTCGGGGGCGATTAATCGATCTAGATAGGTTTCATTTTTAGAAAATTTACCAAAAAAACACCGGGCAAATCTCGGTCTTCAGGTACTTATTTTAATACAAGGAAATTGTTTTAAACTCGAAACTATATACTTCAGTCACCTTATCATTCTCGAAATGTCAAGATTGCTTAAATCTTATAATGAATATTTGTTTAAATTAAATTAACATTTCGTCGCGTCGCTCGCTATTTGATCTTGAGTGTGAATTACTGATGAAGTTAATGTTAGAAATGTTATGTGATTCTTACAAATTATCTTTTAGATTTTGCTGAGGTTTTGTCAATTGCTTTAAGAAATGGATCAGGTTTTGAAATCTTTGAGAAGAAACTGTATAGTAGAAATGCCGTACAAAGAAAACTTGTACAAAAGAATTAATGATGATGTCCTCCCAGAGGCATCCGTCGACGGCGACACCTTGTCACCTTTCAACAGCTCCGTTTACGCTCATGTTCCCGTGCGTGACGCACAATACCGAATTTGATTTTAGATACACGGTTACATGAGGCACAGTGAAGCTCACCACGCGTATTGTAAGTGTAGTTATAGGAGGGCTTTGGATGAGTTTTCCGAAGCTGGAGTTTGGCGTCAAGGTCTTCAAGACGGCTTCGTTCACATGGACATGGATGAACAAAAGAATTAAAATAAGCTAATGAACTTCACAACTGACGAACGAAGCGTCAAATACTGGTTTTTACTTTACCTGCGTCAAGAGATCAAATAATTTGGGAGTTATTTGAGTTCATGACTTTTACTTTTCGCATAATTCTTGTTGATTAAAGCTACAGTTGGTAACTTCTGACAGTTTTATAGGCAGAATTTGATGTAGAAAAGGGTTTGGGTTTAATATTTATTTCAGTGGATTATGAAATCTATGCTATAGATTTCAGTAATACCAGCTCAATGATAATCTAATCTGATCTGATGAACGTAAGGTTAGGATATTAATGACAAAATTTGAACCTGTGAATCGAGCTCTTACAGTTTTTTTTTTCAAATGAATACTGTTTGTCAAATTGCTATCTACTAAGGCATTCTATAGTAAAAAATAATTTTAATGGAACGGCGAAAACGTACTATTTATTGGTTAGATCAATAATAACATAAATAGTTCAATATTTCTTATCCAAGTAAGTAAATCTCTAAAGCTACTGCTTTTAAACGGTAGTAAGATTTTAACGTAGATCTAAATATTGCCTTGTTAGACGAATAGAGGTCGAATATTGACTATCATTTTACTTCTTTGGTTGATATAATTGGAACAATTATGTCTTTTAATACCATGGCAGGTCAAAATGTATGTTTGACTATGTGTCTGCTTAGCGTTCCCAATTAAAATGATTCCTTATTTGCCTGCGCCACAATCAACGAACGCTGACTTCTCTCTACTCTCTACACCTACCTTGATTACTACATCCGATTCTTGTCCTCTAATTACGACAGAAATCTTCATTCAACAAATACTTTGCTTCTCTTGTATCTCTCCCACAACTGCGACTTCATTAACTCCTCGTTCTTTGTGCAAGTGTACTGTTCTGGAATGCGCTCCCACTCGTAGTCAGGATGTCCACAAACAATGAACATAATTACCTTCTTGACTTACCTCTTAATTCCGCTATTTCGAATTACCTTAATCAATAGTACACCTCCTTACATTATAATATTAACAATGTACAAACATAAAGAATATATATTTATGTATACACGTGTAATTGAATATGTAAGTTTTTTTTTAGTTTTATATAATTATTGACAAAAAAAAAATTATAATCATTGATTATAATTGCAACCTCGGTGCACCTACCTTACAAGATTTATACACCACCCAAAGGTTGGCTGGTAGAGAATGCCCAGGGATTATTTATTTTATTTTAAATAAAGAAATATACATAGCATATATAATTATACCGAATAGGTGCATGTCGCTTGATACATTTTTTTTCTTTTTATGTAACACAAATTTTTTCAGCGTTTGATATCTTTCTATATGTAAACTTTTTAAAAGTATTCTAAACTTTAAGTTACTATTTTAACTAGCTGTTCCGCGCAACTTAGTCTGCGTCTTTCAAAAAGAATAAATTTAGGTAAAATAATAATAATATTGTACCACATTCACACAACGCCACCTAGTTCCAAACTAAGCAGAGTACTACTAATGATACTAAACAACTGTTATAAATACATATATCCTTCTTTTTTGCAAATATATGCATATTATACATAGACACGCCCAGACCAAATCAAACATTAAATGTTCATGCACACTTTCCATTGATGCTCGACTCCTATTGGTGTTAGCGTGATGTTATGTAGCCCATAGCTACCCTCGATGAATGGGTTATTAAACTCTAAAATAATTTCTCAATTCGAGTCAGTATTTTCTTGGATTAGTGCGTTCAATACATACAAACTAACTTCTCAGGTTTATAATGTTAATATAGATTTCAAAATATGAAATTTAATGAGATTTAGTGTGATTAATTATTTTTTTAAATATGTATGTGCATCACATTCTGTGTACATTTTATTTTGCTTTGTCAATATCGATTGTTTTTAAAATAATTGCAACTATTTCTCTCTTGTTATTTTAATGTAACTTAATTTAATTATATACACTGACTTTCAAATATTTAAGTTAACTTAAAGATATTAAACCGTGAAATTGTGGCTTCTGCCATGACTGTCCACGAGTAGTGGCATATATCCACGACGAAATATTTGGTGATGACACTAGAGATACGAAGCTAGGTCCGGCTAAATCGTTTTCACAGTCGACTGGTCTCCATGAAGACACTATGCCCCACAGAACAGCATTCAACACTACTGGTGCTCCAGCATCTCTCTGTAAATATGAAAGCTTTGTTATTATTATTAGTAATTAACTTCTTGCACAAGTTTATGCATCAGGGAAATTAATACTCAAGGCATTTTCTACCAGCCGACCATTTGGGCGATGCAAAGAAAGCATGATGTAGGTGCACTTTAAGAAGATAACAAAAGGTAGAAGAAATTAAACAACAACCAAAAAATCAAAAATCTAAAACACAATAATGATAAAAATAATGCTTTTACACAAAATCATGTATTCAAATATTTTCACTGAGTGAATCGTAAGCTTCAGTGTGGCAGAAGTTGTACCAGAACTATAATCCGACTGGCTATTCCTGGAAAGGGTTGATCCTCTCTCGGATTATCTTTGTATACGAGTTAAGTTCTCCCGGTCCTATAAAACCTGACTGAGGGTCACATGGAACTGCGATTTTTCTGCTTTCAGGGATATTCTCTCGCAATGGGTGGAACACATATCCTTGTAAATGGTCTCCCTGGCTGGACCACAGGGTGACCGCAAAGTATGGTGTTCCACCCGTCAAAGAGGCGGATGGTCTACAGATTCATTTCAAGAACACCGCCTTTGAGCCGGATAGAATCCCCACCTAGGTGCTGTCCCTGGCTCTAGTTCACATGTCGGACCACCTCGGGAAAGTGTTCGACCGCTAGCTAAGAGTGCTGGAAGAGCGGAAAGTTGGTCCTTTTAATGAAGCTGGGATGATCTATCGACTCGATCGTGGTCTTCGAGCCAATCGTGTTGCTGGACGAGGCGGGTACATTTTTTGAGAGGTTTCTCTCAATTCGCCACAATAATTCCAATACACTGCCACACCATAAATTGCGGTGAGCCTTTGCCCGGAAGTGGCAGCTTGAGGGGGTAGCCACGCATAAAAAGTACCAAAACTGTAATCGACTAAAGTAAACTCACCATACAAGGATCCATCATCACTCCAGTGTCCAAACACATTGTAGTCTGCAAGTCATTGATATCAAGGTCTTTTAGCTCTTCAGCACAATCTTCAGGATCAGAAGGATGCAGATGGGTGACTGATAGGATTCGCCGTCTTTGAATTATCTCCATGGATTTCAAACTTTCAGACTCATCGGAGTATGACTGTTATGGAATATAAATTGAAATCATAGTAAATAGAAACAGGAATTCCACAACTAACGTTCTTCCTTAAACAATATAATTTGTTTGTCTAGATGGAGTGTCGCACTACAAAACAGCTATTCTAGTATTATATTTTTGAGCTATTCTAGTATTAGGCTATAATCTATACTTACATAAGGCATCGGCCATGAAGTAACAATAAAGTGTGTGTTGTCAGGCTGTTTGTGATTATTCTGAAGTCTGATAGGCTTCAAGGTAGGAATAAACCTGACTGGATGTGGCAGCCTGATTAAAGCTATGTCAAAAATAGGACTCTTGTCATCAAAGCTGGGATGGATCTCAAAATATTTGACGGGAAGAACTGTGCCTCCTTTCTTGTAGTTAATACTGCCAAGTCGCACGCGAAGAGTTCTTGATGATTCTCGTAATCTGGAGACGACATAAATAGAAGTTTAAAGCTGTTCATGATTAGTAATTGAGAGAATAGACATAGATCACCTACAGCGAGGTCAAAATGTCGTCACTATGAATATTCTAACTTTAACCCTTTTAATCTATCAAGGGTTTTAGTGCTAGGTTCGCACACACAACCACTTTATTGCTTGTCCGACGTTATAGCCATTACACCGTGATAGCTGTATATCGGTACTTAACTAAACCTATGTCATCATCATCATCATTTCAGTCGAAAGACGTCCAGTGCTGGACATAGGACTTCCCCAAGGTTGGCCACAACACCCGGTCCTGTGCAAACTAATGTATTTTGAAAATAAAATTAACTTTATGTCAATTTTATTTCATTTTATAATAGTGGCTACACTACCACTACGCCACTTAGCTGCCTTCAAGCAATGGTTGCAGTACCGTTATTTTATTTCAATTTTTCATTCAATTAACATTAGATAGGCGATTAAAATATGATTAAAAAATTACGATTATAAATTATTTTCATTTTTGCTGATTTCTTTGAACTCTAAAAGGATACAGCCAAAACCTTCTATTATGCTACATACATGCCGCCAAATGAAATTATAGGTTAAAAAACTTTTAGTAAAATATCCTCACAGTTCTTACTCACGGCCGTCTAATCGCAATGTGCTTTGATAAACAGACTGCTGATAAACGTATATATATTTACTACGTACTTATATATTTCTAAATACATACCATATTATAGATAAACTACAGCCAGACAGAACAAATGATCGTGCTCATCACATAAATATTTGTCCCGGGGGGGAATCGAATCCTCGGGCTTAGCAGTCAGGACCCCTTTGATGGACCTGTCATCAATGACATCATTGACGGGTCTGTTGGTCTAGTATTCAATAGACCATCAGGCCCTTCAATGATGTCAATGATGAAAATAGCGATGATAATCATATAATAACAAATTTTACTCACAGAAATAAAGCATCAGCAGCGGTCAACACCCACTCATCATAAATTAAAGCGCCTGCACTTAAATACGTAGACATCTTCATAACAGCAGCTACATAAGGAAACAATTCCCCATTTGTGACTAAACTGTGTTCATCTAACTCATTGTAGTTTAATTCTTTGGATTTTTCTACACAATCACAATACCTGTGTAACACTGTCATCAAAATAAATAACTTTTTAAACATTGTAACCGGTGTTTGATGAAAACCTAACAAGAAGTAAATTATAAGAATCTTATTATGTTCAAATGAGTTAAATGCAAAACATAGTACAGGAATAAAGAAAATGATACGTAAATTACATTTGGAATAATATCTTTTGAAATAATGATTTAACAGTTGCATACGTGAACGTCAACTGTGTTGATGTTTTGAGAATTTCACAAAAATTAACGCGTAGTTACACCAACTGCTGAATAATATCGTAACTGCTGTTTTTATCTGAATTAGTACGCTCCATTGCTTTTTGATAAATATTTAATGAAACGTACATTACTTTGGAAAAGCTTTAAACTTTAACTAGTTCAATATCATATTTTGTATTGTTCTCTTTGCTTGAATATATCAATCTATACTCTTAAACTACAAACTCAAATTTTAAAAGTTCTTTTGTTTCTTGCTTTAACGCTCCTAACGTTTAGATTTATGTTAAATTTTATAGTATCAGACAGCTAACAACAAAACTGGCGTTTGTTATTAATGGTCTTTATCGGTTCCATGCAGTTTCATTCATCATTGTCACTATTTCTTCATTATTATTTTACGGCTACTGTTGTTTTACTTTTTGCTATTTAATTACTTTATTTATTTATTTATATCTTTATTGTATAAAGTTAACACAAAGTTACTTACAAATATATATAGACGTAACAATCGGCGATCTCATACTTTACTTTACTGTGTTCGCTAATGATAAGTTTTGCAAATTTTATAAGTAACCAGCTATTGTGTTTTTTTTAATGTTTGTAACTTAGGAATTAACGAACTTTCATGCAATCGTTTGTCCCTTGTTTACTCCTTAAGGGTTCCGATTTCCAAAAATCCTTACTAAGCAGCCGCTTACAACATAAAAAGCATCATCTGTCAGAATTTCTAGTTTGTTGCCCTAGTGGTTTAGGCTCTGTGTTGATGAATTAGTCAGGGCAAGTAATTTTTTTTTTTCGGTGTGTGCGTTGTTGTTGTTGTGTACTGGTCAGGATTCAAACCCACGACCTCTTGATCGCAAGCCCAATGCCTTAACCACTAGGCTACCGCCGCTTTCTTTTATATGTATAGATTCTAAATACACACCGCATTTGTCCAACATGAACAAGCCCTTAGTTGGCCAACACTTGATAAGGCATTGCAAAAAGAAACATTTTGTTTACAAATTATATGTAACACAATTGCCATTGCGCTGTTATAATCTTTTCAATGTTATAATGACTCAAAACTTCACTATGAAATTTCGCTCAATTTCAGCCATTCGTAGTGTTATTTTCCAACCAATTTTCGTCAGTAAACAAGACGCTTGAAAATTGCTTTGCAGAAATTTCTAAAGATATATTTTTAAGACGTAGTGAAAACGGTACATTATAAATTTAAAACTTTATAACCGTGCTTTATTTTAAAAGCTCAGTGTAAAAATGAATAAAGGGTTCTTAAATTATTTTACACTAGCTTTTGCCCGCAACTCCGTCCCTGTATATGTCGGTTATCGCGTTTAAAAGCAGCCCTTCCTAAAAATCAAACTATCTTTATACCAAATTTCATCTAAATCGGTTTAGTGGTTTAAGCGTAAAGAGTAACAGAGAGACAGACAGATACACTTTCGCATTTATAATAATAAATATTAGTGTGGACTAGTATGGATAAACCTGTTTAATTAAATTAATAACGTTCCTTAAAGCTACTCCTACTTCTTATTTCTTTATTTTTTAGTTTTTTGTTTGTCCACAAATTAAACATTAATAAAAATAAGAAAAAGAATTATGTGCCTAAAGGCGATCTAAACCCATAGTTGATTTACATCAGTATTTATACAAATTATCTAGCACCTTCAGGATTATTCTTTGATATAACTAAATGAAATCTGAGTTATTTTAAATGTAGACTAGGAGCTTCTCCGTGTCAATGAAAAATAAAATTTGTTTTTACAACATTGGACTAAATAATACCCTATACCATCCCTGCCAAAGAGCAGCGGACTGGAAGATAGAAAACAATATGTTTATTTTCATGCGCACAAAGGCAACAATCACTTACTAACATAAATACAAAAAAAAAAACAAAGTATAGGTAAATTTACTAACACACAGTGAACAGCCAAATACTTCGAAATATTTTATTCAGAATTTTCGATTTTTCGATTTCGATTTCCAAGTCCGAATTTCATAATACTTAAGAATTATATTGCCCATTATTAAAATTCACGATTTTTTTTTCACCGAAAGCCGTAAAGGCGATTTGTTTGTTTGCCGATTTTTATGCGTTCGAGGAATCAAATGCTCGATATGTTCTCGGTCCGAAAAAGGACATTCCGATTTTCAATATTTCGAAAAAACTGCTAAAATTGGGATTCTGGTTCTGATTCAGTTACGTATATATATTGAAAATCTATAAGTAAAGTTGATTGTATTAATAAATGTCTAATTTGTTATTAATATTTGTGTTTTAATTAAAAAAAATATGACCTTAATGGTCATAATTTTTTGCCCGAAGGCGAGCGAGCATGGCGAGCATTGTTGGCAAATCATTTGGGTTAGAAGAACTGCGACCAGCGAAGGAAAATATTTTCATTTGAAAGGTAAGATAAATAAATAGAAGGAATTCAAATTTTTGATGTTTAGAATTATCATTGATTCGGGCTTTTTGTTATTCGATCTATTGAAACTCGGTATTATGAACATAGTAATTACAAACGTCGGGAATTAAAATTTTTGAATTATAAAAATAGGTTGAATGTTCAATCGGTGTTGTTATATTAGGAATTTTGAACCATTCAGAATTAGAAAAATCGGTCTTTTCAAATTCGTAATTATGACTGACGCAATAAAGTTTTTCATATTTCAGAAAATTATTTGTACTTTAAATAACAAGGTGTCGTAAGAGCCGACTAAGGGAGCAAACTAAGCAGGACAACAGCACTGCAAAGAGAAGGAAAACTTGAAACAAACCCTATACCAACCCGTCTGGCCAGCGTGGTATAGTAGACCAAAACCTTCTTTCTAAGGAGAGGCCTATGTGAAGCAGTGGACTAGTATAGGCTGTTGATGTGTTGATGATGTGAAGTAACAAGTCATAATTCAAGTAATAAATGCGTGATGCCTTTTGTTAAATGTGTAGGGAGACTCCCTCTGCCCATGAACGTCTGCCTGCAACACAGGTGGCGCACGCGCGTTACCGGCATTTAAGGAAGGTACGCTCTTTTCAAGGTGGTTTGAAGGTCGTATCAGGCTAGAAATACCGCAGGTGACAATTTGTTCCACTGATTAGTAAAGTTTTGAGGCAAAAGGTTTTTTGAAAACCGCAGTGGTAGAGAGGAATGGTGGACAATGTCTAATAAGCAGATATCGGAGCAGGTAGATTGATTTAGTTCGAATGACCTTAAACGTATACATTGTGTTAATATGGAGCTGCGTATTAGTAGAAAAGTTTTAACCCGGAATAAGGGACTGGCAATTCGTATTGAAATTTGTGTCGATGAAGATTAAAAATAATTTTGAAAGAATTTTATAAAAATTCACTTTTTTTTTAAGTCTACTTTGATTGTTTTCTTTTCATTTATTGTTTACAAAGAGATAAAAATACAGTGACTTATACAATAATAGCTACTAAAAACCAACAAGGTTTATACCTGTGCTAGAATCAAATGGATCATTGTATTAACAATAAATGATTTTTATGTTTTTATTTCTTTTTGTACCCGTACTGTTAAGATGAGCTAATAATTAAAAAAAAAAACCTAATACTACTTAATACCTGTGAACTCGAGCAATTTCAACTTTTTAATTAAATCTATTTACGTTATACATAATGATGTATAGGCAGTCAGTGGTGGTGTGGTTAGTAAAATAAAATTGTAAACGATACCCCAGTGGTGTGGTTCAGAGATGTGATACACGAGACTTTCAATAAATTTGACGAGTATTGTATAAAGTGCCATCTATGCTTCTGTTTACAAATTAATGAACATTTTACTTAAAATGAGCCCTGGTCACATTAGGGGTGAAATAATCTCTGTTAATATTAATAGATGGCGCTATTACAAACATTTTAAGGAGTATGCAACATTACTCTTCTAATGAAAATCTAATCTAAACATTTCAACATCAAAATATTTCTGTGATAACATGATTAAAGTGGCCAAATCCTCCTTTCAGAGGAGAGGCCTATGTCAGTGGACTATCATAGACTGTTGATGAATTAAAGTGGCTGAAATTGTGATCTAATTTTTTTTTAAATTGTTTTCTTGTGCCATTTTAATTCAGCCATATTTATGTAGAGAAATACGTAAGTATGTATGACTTCATTAAATAAAATTTGTTTGTTTTCTTCAGTATTATGAATAACACAAAGTTTTGATGGATGTACATTCATCCATCAAAACTTTGTGTTATTCCGCAATGTTTGCTACAGCAGACATTGCGGAATTATGATTTTTCATTATTTATACAGTTCATTGAGAAAATTAATTTTTGGTTTTGTATAAATTTAAGCATTCAGGTACGTTATGACTGTTATGAGACATATCTACTTTTTTTATTTCGTATCGTCATACTCCCAAAAACACTTAAGAATTATATTTTTAAAAATAATTTCTTGCCTAATTTATCGGTGTCATTTCTTGTTTATAACTCTTCCGGCCCGCCGAGTCAGGCGTCCTCCATAAGCGCAGGCCTGGGGGTGACAGGTGAGGCCATCTGTCCCCCTAGCAGAAGCAGGCCGGGGTGGCGGCGCCGTGACGCGCGCCCTTTTGGGAGCGCAAAAGGGCACATATTGGTTCCCACATAGGAGGGGGTCATCTACAAGTTGTAGATGGCTCGAGGTACGTCGAGGTACCAGGATATCCTTTCTAGGGTATACCTGGTTCCCTGGCAACTGGTACCCGAAACGGCGTGTGTCTTTTAGTTGGTTCGAGTCCGACATAACCATTGCACCGGTGGGTGGTATCCAAGGGTATTCCGCACTAAAAAAAAAGGGTGGGAATTGAACCCACCACCTCTGGCTTAGCAGTCAAGGTCAGACCACAGCCAATACATCTGATGTCTAATAGCATAAGTACAAGAAAGTGAAAGAAAGAAAGATCTATCAATGAATAAAACAAATAAAGACATCAAAATGCAATGTTTATTACAAATTAACATAAAACAATAAAAAGGACATAATTATTTTACGCTTGTTTACATATTCGTATATTTCACGACTAGATTTTTCAAATAAAAATATTTCTCACAACACCAGCTATACATAAATTAATATCTGAATTAATTCTAGTAGGTACTAAGTATTATTAATTCGTTACAATTAAAACATATGTCCTAAATAAAAGGCTATTCACTAAATATATACAACACAGCTCTGCCTTCAGAATAGCCTTTTTTCCTATCTTTATCATTATATTCAAGGTAAATGGGCTTAATCATCCTCATCAATAGCCTCTTATAGTCCACTGCTGGACATAGATTAGCCTTAGAAAGGGGGTTTACTAAACCACGCTTGCCAAACGGTTTGGTATAGGCTTTGTTTCAAGTTTTCCTTCTCTTTGTAGTGATGTTGTCCTGCGTCGTTTGTTCCTTTAGGCGACTCTTACGACACCCACGGGATGAATAGTGATAGAGACACTCCATTACAATATTAATTAATGGTCTCAAAAATATGGCATAAAAATTAAGGGACAATTCAGTTTCAAGGTTACGACGTGATTTATTCATTTCTTTAGTCCAAAAGAAAATGTGGCTATTCTTTTTAATCTACTGCTGCCTATACTTGTTCTGTACTTGATTAATGTAAAAAGTAAAAAGAACAGAGATGGCGCTCTGATCAGCCAGAATTTTACACTCGGTATTAGTGTTTTTGTAGAAGACTTGTTTTGTTTTTGTACAAAATCGATTAACTGCAATGATATGCGGACATAACATTTTTGAAGGTAGACAAAATTTAGAAAAAAATCCATGGACGCCCTTCAATTGTTAAAATATGATAGCTAAGTTGAAATGAAGTCACACGTTTCTCAAAAAAAAGACCTACATCACGGAAGGACAACTCAAACACCAAAACCACATGTTCACGCTTTTAATAAAACGCAGGCACATTGGCCCTTGGCCTTTAGAGGTGTTTGAAAGCCAGGTTCTAGCCCGTCCTCTAAGAAATACTATTTTGTGTATTATATTTTTAAAATGTAAGCTCGCTTCATTTTAATATATGGGATAATTAGGACAACACTGCTATTTTCTAAAATAACTTAAAATCTAGTTATTTTGTTTGATTTGTCATCAATACAGTTAGGAAATGTAAATTTACGAGTAAATTACCTGAAAAACATGTAATTCCGAGCCTATTTAGGAAATGTGCAAAATAATTTTTCATATATTCTTTAATAGACACATTTCCTGTGAAATGTATACATTTTATAGAAATTATACATAGGACATAGGTTTCTCCTTACAAAGGAGTTTTTGGCCTACTATACCACGCTGGCCAGGGCAAGCCAAGTTTTCCTTCTCTTTACGGTGCTGTTGTCCATTGTAGTTTGCTTCCTAAGGATGGCGACTCTCAGTACTCTTAATACGTCACCATGAGTTTAAATTTCAGACAGAGTTAATGACATTTTTATTTATTTACATGAAATATTACAAATATTCCTTTATTGATAACCTAATCAATCATAATCATAAATCATAATCTTTTTTAATTTTTTACATACTTATCCTTATAGTCATTATGAATAAATGTTGTGCTGCAAATATTTCTTCCTTGTGCTTTACTTTCGAAGGTCATCAGGTCACAAGGTCGCTTCTTAGTAGTATTACGGGTTAGTGTAGTGAAACTCTCCAAGTTGGTGGGTGTAGAACAGAAGAAGGCGCGGCGGAATTCTCGACGAAATTTACCTGGAACATTAATTATTAATAACTTAATAAGTTACTAATGTTTACACAAAGAAGTTACGCTTACACGGATAATTTTTATTCTTTCTTTTTTTTAAGGATTCGTATTCTTTTGTTTCTTAAATTCGTTTTGAAAATGACAAACACCCATACAACGGTTCATCTAATATTTGTAGTCAGGCGGTGACGCATTAAGAATACGGAATGTCACCACCCCTAAGGAAAGGAAGGAAAACTTGAAACAAATCCTATACCAAGCGTGGTATAGTAGGCCAAACCCTCCTTTCTAAGGAGAGGCCTATATCCAGTAGTGGACTGTTATAGGCTGTTGATGATGATGATGATTGATGATCATATTTCTAGAACTTTGCTAAAGGTAAATAAATTCTTTAAAAAAATTGTTACAACTGCCATAAGTAAACGTTCCAGTGTTGTTAACAAAACGCTTTCCTAGATTTTCAAAACTTGCCAAGCAAAAAAATATAAATTACAAAAAAAAAACATATGTTGACGAGATTAATGAATGAGCTCACTTGTGTATTGAACAGTTAAAATTAAACATTTCTTTATTAATAACGTTGACTGTACAGATTAGACGAAGTAATGAAGGAACGATTATTTTAAATCAATCAAGGGAAAGGTACTAATAACTTTAATTCAAATCGATTAGATTAATCGTGAACATTATGTAAAAAAAGTAAATAAACTGATTAGACGCGACATCATTTTATTGACGGATCAAGAAAATCATAAACGAATGATTTTGAAAATAACACTCACGACATACATTTAAATGAATCTCATACATAAATACACCTTACATAATATGCTGGATATAGGCCTCTCCTTAGAAAGGAGGTTTTAGCCCACTATAACACGCTGGGTAGACGGGTTGGTATAGGGTTTGTGTCAAATTTACCTTCTCTTTGCAATGCTGTTGTTCTGCGTAGTTTAAACCTCCTTTCTAAGGAGAGGCTTATGCCCAGCAGTGGACTGTTAAAGGCTGTTGATATGGTGATGACATAAATATGTAAAAACATTATAACATTACCTATACCATTCAATTTGATACTCGATTTGCATCTTTAGATTATCAGCATCGGCCAATTTTGAATTTACCATTGACTGAGAAAAAAACATTAAAACAAACCCTATACCAACTCGTCTGGCCAGCGTGGTATAGTAGGCCAAAACCTCCTTCCTAAGGAGAGGCTTATGTCCAGCAGTGGACTATTATAGGTTGTTGATGATGATGATGATGAGAAAAAAACGAAATAATTTGTACTTACCGCTCATGAAATTGTATATCAGAGGGTTAATAGCTGAGTTGGCATAACACATCACGTGACCAACTAGAGCGAGACAGGTAACTACATCGGTCTGCTCCATATCGAGAGTATACCTGAAAAAAAAACTTTATAATTACTATCAAGCCCTGAATAGATCTATAACAATAACTTAAAATATGTCACACAAGGACATCAGAAGGCTAATCTCGTAATAAAAGTTCGGTCTCAATTGAGTTCCGATCAATTTTCGTTCTCACATCATCATCATCATCATCAACAGCCTATAATAGTCAACGTAGTTTGCCTCCTTAGTCGGCACTTACGACACTCACGGGATGAATAGGGGTTGTGACAATCTGTATTCTTAATCCGTCACCACACGTATTACGTTTTTACGGACTATTACGATTCGTTCTCATAACTGTTATAAAATACCTTTTTCGTAGTAAAGGATTAAACATTCAGCGTTTACTGTAATGTGATTATATTGTATTGTAACCGAAAATTGAATAAGTAATCTACTACTCTTAGTAATACTTTACTATTTTACTACAAAAATACCTTTTTAACAGTTGTGAGATCGAAAGTTGATCGGAACTGAATTGAGACCGAACTTTTATTACGAAAATTGGCCTTCTGATCCCAAACTAGGCTGAGCCTGTACTATCATAACCAGACTGCTAATAAGATAAACATATTTTTAAACACATACAGCCTTTTTTCTAAAAATGAGTTATACATCTGTAAAACAAATGTATAGTATTACGATGTATTACAATAATATTTTTGAACTACTAGGTTATTTATATATAATTTTACAATAATTTTCAATATAACTCAATCTAGAGAAACATTATGTAATCAAACATTGTATGAAAGAACAGCCTTTTACACTAACTGAAGACACACTTCTAAAACTAGTGGAAGATTACAATTTGAAAAGTAACATTATGCATACGAGTACAACGCTATGTCTTTTAAATGTACTTTTAAAACAATCAAACAACTCTTAAAATATGAAACACAAAATACGAAATACATTGATAAATTTATTAATCGGTGTTGGAATTTCATTTAAAGGGAAGTAAATTGCATCAAATATGTCAGACTCGGTTGTGACATGGGTCCATATTATACTACGAGTAATATAAATATTTCTGAAGTAAATTGACAATACATTTTGGATTAAAAATTATGACTTCCTTAATAAAAGTTCATTTTTAACAGTTGGTAATGTTATTCGGTTTGATATTATGAGAAGAATACTACGTTTTGAATCATGTGTTTTTTATTAAATATTCCTTATGATTATAGATTATTATTACCGTGGGAGAGCCGTACTAAGGCACTAATGGGCCGGCTCGACCGGAGTGATACCACGGCCTCACAGAAAACCGGTGTTAAGCAATTCTTTTATTGCTTTTCACTGAGTGAATGAGGTTACCCAAACCCAAATTCCCCCTCCCGCTGACTCAAGCGGGAGGGACTCCAAGGGCGGCAACGCACTTGTGCCTTTTGAGTTGCAGGTGTATATGGGCGGCGGTAGTTGCTTACCATCAGGTGACCCGTCTGCTCGTTTGCCCCCTTATACCATTAAAAAACAGTGTGGAATGTTCACGCCATAAACATCTATTGTGTTAATACCCTCGACCGGAGTGTTTAAAGCTACTTCACTTAAGCAAAAGAAAAGAATGAGAATTAAATGAAATGGATAGACCCAGAGACTTGACAGAAAGCAGGGGCACACCTATATTCCGTATTGCGTAAGTAGGACAAAATCTTAGTCAGTAAAGTGTAAACGTAAAATACGGCCCTTTCAAAACCTTCCGGCACAGAGATGTCTATGTCCAGACGTGTGTATGTAAGTTATGGTAAAGTGCCTTCAAAAGCTTCAAGTAACATACTAATTATAAACAATTTTAAAATATTATTTAAATTTCATTATTAAAATTAAACTTTTGGGATATGTGAAGTTAGTCTCGTAGATATTAAACAGTTTAATACTGAGAAAGAGGACATAATTTATGTAAATTAGTAATAAAACTATTAACACCATTTTCCGTAACTACCATGGATGTTATTCAAATTAGATTTCATTTCATATGTAAATTAAAGTTAGTGTGTTGTATTAATAATTTTGCCGGCGACGTCTGTTATGGGTTTTGTGTATTAACTTATACTGTTTAATTTAGGTTAGAGAATGCTTGGCTGTTGAATTTGGACTATTTTAATTATCTTGTTTCATTATATTTACCAGTGCAACCTCAGTCGTTGGTATAATTTTGTATTATGACAGATAAAAATTCATACTAGATAAATTTTACCTATGTGGCACATAAAAACAAAAAAAAAGCCGTGTGGTGTTGTGGGACACCCGATAGGAACGAAGTTGTGACGATCGAGTAAAACTGATTCGACACGATTTTAATTACAACGCCATCTATGAAAGCGACTATTACCTACATATTTTTCAGTTGGTTTCTAATTAAAACAATTTATACATTGGTAAAATCTCCTTGAGAAATGATTTCCTATCTATTCGATAGATGGCGCTGAATGACTGACAAGTGACAATTCAAATTAAATACTGAGATGAAAAGTAGTGTGTTCAGTGTGTGATCCCTATTCATATAAAAAATCTCTTCTAAACCCCCTCCAATCTGGTTTTCGTCCTGGACATAGTATGAACACCATAGTGGTTCATAACACGGATGATATATAAGCGGCTTTGAGGATGGAGCATGGTGGTGTTTTATCTCCCTTGCTCTTCGCAGTCTTTAGAAACTCTTTTTCCAACGATTTAGCTTCCTCTTACCACCTTTATGCAGATGATTTACAAATCTATGCTCAAGCATCCGTGGAACGACTAAGAAACGAGTTCTTAGTTGTTCCACGGATGCTTGAACTCACGCACACACTCACTCATACTCTCATATACACACTCATATGCAGCTATCTATTTATTATGTTACTCAAATTGTGAATTCTTTTGCGATATATTAAGTACTAGACGTTAGTTAATCGTATTCACTGATAGCCACGATACAGGCTGCGCCTAGTGTGGCTACCATAGGCAATTGTGTAACCGTTAACGAAAAATAATTATATTTTTAAGTTTTTTTTTAATAATAATCATTGTAGACAGCAAACAAATGATAAGCAGATTGAATACTGCTTCAATCTCACTGATCGTCTTCAACGGCTTAGTGATACCTTTCAGCCGCGTAGTCAAAGACCTGGGTCAACTCATTGACTTTACTCTCGATTGGCGAGCTTAGGTTACTCATGTGAGTCAAAAAGAAACTTACGAACACTATATCGCCTTAAAAAGGACAATGGCAGGTCCCCATACATAATTTTATTTGAAGTGAAATGACAGCGTTTAAATATCAAAAATGCCTATAACCCTTGAGAATTTATTCTTGAACATTCTCATAAAAAAATTACTAGCGAAAGAAGTCTAGGAAAAAAGATATTGGATTTTGAATGTTTCGAGGTTAAGTACTAAAATATTGTAAATGTTTTGTTTGAAACTAGATGGCGTTGTGTGTCATATATTCTAAAATATTATTCATCATTATTATTACTTATAAGCAACCCTATTTTGCTGTAGAAAGTGTTAGCCGACTCTCTAAATGGGTGAAGGAAGGAAGGGTATTTGCTTGGCATGTATTGGTAAACAATAGAAAAAAATCTTCGCTTACATAGCAGGTGTAATACTAGCCATAAATACATAAATTATTAATAATCATTTGAATAAATGTACTTCAATACACATTTACACAATTTATTTTATTATTTAGTTATTCAACAGTCAGTAGTTATGACATTATTTACTAAAATCTAAAGCATGCATCCATTATATTGAGATTAATGCACAACATTTTAAGGCATCACATCATGCATAATGGAGTAACACTATATAAAATTAAAATAAACATATATGAGAGTTTAATACTAAACAAAAGTAAAACAACCAAATAAACTACAATTGCCTTGTGAGAAATGGTATGTAAGTCATGCGTGTAAGTGTCAAACGACAAGACTATAGTCCGTCAACGTCGTGCGCGACCGTCTTGCGGGGTGACAGATGGTGGCGGGGACGAGGTACTCACGATGTCAGCGGGTAGCGGGTGGTGTAGCGGTGTGTAGCCGTGTGCTAGAATGACGCTACCTCGCCCCCGCCACTGTCTGTCACCCCGCGGGACGGTCGCGCACGAGATTGCCGGGTTATAGTAAGTGCGACGACGACGTATCGACATTTTAAAAATATCGATGCATGTCTATTTATATTTATTTATTTATTTATTTTTAACTTTTTGCACAAGTACATGCATCGGCGGACTTAATGCCTAAGGCATTCTCTGCCAGTCGACCGATTGGGCGGTGCTGAGAAAGAATGAGGTAGGTGCATTTATGGTAGGGTATAAACGATAGTGGTTTTGTTAAATACTAACTATCTTGGAATTTGGTGTATACGTCGTAATACCACACACATACACATATATATACCTATACATACTCATAAATATATACATATATATGTATATATATATATGTATATATTTATGAGTATGTATATACACATACACACACGCGTATGTATATACACATACACATATATATATGAGAAAAATAAAAAAAATAAAAAATTTAGCCGATGAACTAGGAGCTCGTTGAATCTGCCATTTCGTTCAGCAATAGCTCTTTCACTTTCGTCTTAAAAGAGTACCGATTTGTAGCCATCCTGACTTCGTGAGGAAGCGCATTCCATAAGAGGACAGCCTGGACAAATATGCCGTTATCAACCTACAATGTCTTTTTCTCATCACACTAAGCAGTATATTGTTTTAGTATTTTTCTGTAGGAAAATAACGTAACTATATTCTATTTATTTTGGTGTAGCAATAATCTTTTAAAAAGAGTCAAAAATATTCTAAATTATTTCTAATTAGGTTGATTTAGTCACTACAGTACTAGTTACGGTAGCGTATGAGTAAACCCGTAGGCAGAAGCAAATTCATAATCATAATAGGTGAACCTTCGATAGATATTTAAGCCAAAGTTATAACAATCGCTTATCGATAAAACGTTCCATAATATAATAATGTCATTACGCATCTCTAGTCAGTTCGTGATGGCGATTCTGACATTACGTACTTAGGTCAAATAAAATCTTTAAAATATCCAATCTCTTATGAGACTTATACAACACATGGCGGTATAATGATAAATCATAGAAAAAATATTTAGTAAGTTTACTGTTAGTCAATTTTTTAAACGCTTCAGTTTTAGGTAAATATGTTTCTGCCATTGTTCTTTCCTGCCTCCAAAAACCTATATATGTTTGTATGTATATGCGTGAGGTGACGGTGACGGTTAAGAATACGAAGGGTCAGCGCCCCTATTCATCCCGTGGGTGTCGTAAGAGCCGACTAAGGGAACTAACTACGAAGGACAACAGCACAGCAAAGAGAAAGAAAACTTGAAACAATCCCTATACCGACCCGTTTGGCCAGCACTGTATAGTAGGCCAAAACCTCTTTTCTAAAGAGAGGCTTATATCCAGTAGTAGACTATAAAGGCTGTAAATGATGATGATGATGTACGTGCAAACATATATATATTAGCATTATATTATATTGTATTATATGTAAAGGTACATATAAATATGTATTTGTTTGTGTATACATTTACATGGGTTGAGTTGTTTATCGTATATTTTAGTAATTATTATTCTAACCTATATGGGCCTACCACTCACAATTTCTACACCACCTAAAAGTTTACTGTAAGAGAATGCCTTGAGTATTAAATCCGCAGAAGTACAAAAAAGGATAAGTTATAAAAAAAAAAAAAAATATAACTACAAGTAGCTTTGTCTATTATACTATAGCAATCGGAAATTATAATTTTATTTTCAAATTATATGTATATGTATGTATTTAAAACGGTAATTTGTATTTTTTGTTCTGAGTGGGAATCGGACAACGACTACATATGAATTCTTAGATCAGTCAAAACATAAAAGAAGTCACAGGAAAATCATAGTATTAATCATCATGATTTCTAAGAATCAATTAACATAATATCGTTTACTTATCAGTCACTATTGGGTGTTAGATTAGACGTCGAGACAGAAATTGTTAGGACAAATATACATAGTGTATTAACCAAAATATGTACAAGGTCTCTCAACATGCTTTATACAAACTCAGCAAGCAATATCTTCCTTTATAATCTTAGCTATCCTAAGAGATGTATAACACGGAATGAAACAAATATTGAACATCAATATTACTGTTTGCATATTTCAGATAGATGAGCCAGTAATATGTCCCGTCTGAAGAACCTTGTTTTTGTTTATCTTTTATTTACTGTATAGGCTAGCCGAAGGACTCGTGGCTAAGTAACCTACGAGGTTAACACATTGTAGAGTCAATCAATTTTAGCCAGGTCAGTCTGGATGGGTGACCGTTTTTTAACACAATTTCCTAGAAGAGAACGTTTAGCCGGTTGACATACGAACGGGCGAAGCGCTCCGGAGTCGATGTAGTGAGCGTCTACCCATAGTACTCCATACAAAGAATACCGATCGCTCGAAGCGAGGCGGTGCTCATCGGGTGTCGGGTGGCTCTAATGAGCTATGACCTTTAATCCATCACCATACGGAAAATCTTGATATATTATCGTTTATTCACCTTTGTCATTGCATTTTCTTACTGAAGTATACTTATTTTTTGTAAGAATATAATTTAACTTCTTACCTGAGTACTGACAGCAGATGCACAGGAAAAAAACAGACAGCGAACATGATGACAACAGCCACTAACATCTTAGCTGCCTTTCGTCTAGAACGTATTTGACCTGGAAACAAAACACCATAGAATATGAACATAATATATATAGTAATATAGCTCTGAAATCCTGGTAAGTAAAGATAAGGCATATGAACCCTGGCTAAAGGAAAGAACCAGAAAGTTACTAAGAGTTAAATGACTAACATAAAAAAGTTACGTACGTAATTGTACTGCCATAAAAAAATACGTATCATCAAGACTCAATTTTAAAATTTAAAGTAGCATAATGAAAAATATATAAATATATTTTATATATTGGTATCATTCGGTATAATGAACGCATTCTAGCGATGCCAAAACTTCCAAATCTTAAACTTAGAATAGTAAATTTTGTTCACAGGAACTCTGAAAACCTAATATTCCAAATTTGGATTGTCATGTAAAATAAATATCTTTATATTCGGTAGCCGTACTGCGTTGTAAGAAACGAAATTTCTTTCAAACTTTTTCAAAGAAGCTTAAGCTTAAAGGTTTAACAGAGTACTATTTAATTAGTTTCCGTCGTCGTTTTCCTTATATGCCCATTTTCAAGTAAAATGGGCATATAAGGAAAAATCTCATTCGTTTGCTTTTTTATCCTCCTTTATTACTTGTCACTGCCTGCTCCCTTTCTAACCATATCTTCTTTAACGCAGTCTATCCATCTTTTTATCGTCTTCTATTCTTCCGTCCGTCAATTTCCACACATAAAACTTTCTTTAGGATAACCTGTTGTTTCTTGATTTTTTACCCCACTTTCAAGCTTCGTCTAACGTTCTAGAATTTAATTAAATCAGTTACGCATTAAGGCATGATGTGAATGTTTTTTTGGTAGGTGATATACTTAAGTAGTTATAGTTATCTATGTGTGGTGACGGATTAAGAATACGGAATGTCATCACCCCTATTTATCCCGTGGGTGTCGTAGGTGCCGACTAAGGGAACAAACTACGCAGGACAACAGCACTGCAAAGAGAAGGAAAACTTGACACAAACCCTATACCAACCCGTCTGGCCAGCGTGGTATAGTAGGCCAAACCCTCCTTTCTAAGGAGAGGCCTATGTCCAGCAGTTGACTAGTAATGGCTGTCGATGATGTGTGTGTATATTTGTTCGTATGATATAAATGTGTTTATGTGTACATATCTGATTGTACCTTTTTTATATTCATTCGTAATTAACCTGTAAAACTCAATGCACCTTAAACTACTACTGTCTCTTCAAAATATTTCGATGCATCCTAAGGATGCCTGGAAGAGATTGCTCTTAGCAATAAGGCCGCCCTTTGTACATTACATGTCTGTCATTTTTGTACCATGCTACCTTATTTTAAAAACACCTCCCACATTAGGAAAATATTCTGTGTCGCGGGTGACTTTACAAACATACATGAAACGGACACAAATAACACTCAGACTTAGAACAACAATTTGTGGATCACACAAAGTGTCGTCCCATGTGGGAATCGGACCCACAACACTCAGCGTAGTAGTAAGCGGTGTGGCAACCGCCTAAACCACTACGACATCCGTGCAGGCGTGTACTTGTACTTGTACCATCAATTCCTCATCTTTTCCACCCTAGTTACACCATCCATCCATCTTAACATTCGAATTTTAGCTACGTGAAGGCATCTCTCACCCGTTCTCTTAATTTTTTTTTAAAGATTCACCAAAAACTGCTTAAATTAATTCCCCAAACTAATACATGCTCATATATTTAATAACAATGCAACAGCCACTTATAGGTAAACTACGCTTATGGTTTAAAAATGGAAAACTCAAAAGTAAACCAATAAATGAAAAACATTTTTTCATTTTACATTTAAGTATTGCGTCATAGCAAATCACTAAGTACAGACTTTAGACATTGATCTAAACTAAGAGATCTCATTGACTTTGACTCGATACAATTTGTACGAACAAATTGTAGCGAGTCAAAGTCAATGAGATCTCTTCGTTTAGATCAATGTTTCTACAATATTATTACGTTTTAAAACAGTATAAATACGTTTCACTTATCTGGACACTTACAAATTTAATTCTGACTGAAAGTAAAACGGAACATCGCATATTAAGGCGCTTAAATAAATACCCTTAGGGCTTTATTTGCTGGATGGATCTATTTAGACTTAAATTCAAAATGATATAATTGTTTGTTTGAAACAAACTTTCTCGAAATTTTATAACTTAAATGGATAGTTAACAATTGTGGATCACACCAAGTGTGGTCAACTCGGTCTGAAGCGGTCAGGCCCAGATGAAGTTCCTAGGCCTCATTCTCGACGGTAGGTGGCTCTTTGACGAGCACTTCCGACACCGGCACTTACGGTGCACCGGTGTGGGCCGTGTCTCTGACCGCCCAGAATAGGGCACGCCTCAGGCGCCCTCAGAGGGTATTGGCGGTTAGAGCCATATGCGGCTACCGCACCGTGTCAACGGAGGCGGCATACGCATTGGCCGGGACTTGGAGGCGGAAGTGCTCGCCGAAGTATCGGTAAACGACTGAGATCCGGGCGGTTAGCGGCAGTCGGGCCGTCGCGCGGCGCGCTTACAAGCGCCTCATGCCGTCCTGAGTCTGGTCGCGAGTGGCCGCGGGTGGACGGGACGGAACAGGAGTCGCCGTCCGCAAGTGTCGGACGTTGCCTAAATAGAGAATGTACCCGAAGGTGGTGCCCGCGACGTTGCGGGCTGGTTCTAGGAGAGGTCCGGATATCATAACAGCAGTTCCCGGATCCCTCCTATTGCAGGCGCAGAGAGCGAAACAAAAATGTTTGTTTAAAATTTTCCTACTCTTTGTAGTGCTGTTGTCCTGCGTAGTTTGCTCCCTTAATCAGCTGTTACCACCGTCGCTCCTAATCCGTCACCACACGGACAGCACAGAAAACCGGTGTTAGGCAATTGAACAAGAAAGTAAGGTTACCGAAACCTAAACCCATCCTCCTCCAAATTCTGGGGAGAGGCCTCAAAGGATGGCAACACGGTAGTTAATTTCCTAAGGAGAGGCCTATGTCCAGCAGTGGACTAGTAAAGGCTGTTGATGATGATTGTTCGTGCGCCGTCCGCGAGTTTCGGCTACTCTCGGCTGTCTTCGGAGAAGGCAGCTGTGCAAGGCAACTACGGGGGGGCCGCGGGGCGCGGCGCGGAGGTGCCAACCGTCAGCTGTTCCCGAGGGCATTACCTCTGAAGTCCGCAAGCATCGCACGCGCACCATACTTTAATTGTTTTTATTAATATATGTACAAATTTACAGTCCATTGCCTTTAAATTATTTACCCGTAGATCAGGGATTTAACAATGATCTATCAGCTCGTTTGCACTTCTATGCCGTAAAAAAACGCACGGTCTTAAGTGTGTACTTGGCTTCAATTCGAGCATAAATTTCAATCAGTGCCATACAATCATTTGCTATACTTCTACGAGTTTAATTTCCTACGTGTCGTTGAGAGTCACGTTATCTCACGTGAGTTTGAAGGGAACACGAGATTTCTTTCTACCCCAAACGTGAGCTTTTCTAAAGTAGTAAACACGTCCTATTATAACAAGATACCTCAATTCGGCAAGAGTTGGTATTGAACTGAATAATAATATTATACCACATTCACACAACGCCATCTAGTCCTAAAACTAAGCAAAGCTTCTACTATGGCTACTAGACAACTAATATAAATACATTTATACTTTTTTTTTGTAAATACATACTTATTATACATAGAAACACCCAGACCAAATCAAACATTAAATGGTCATGAACACAAATGTTTGATGTCCGTCCACAAACCAAACACAAACAAAATGTCTATTAAAAACCTTACTTCGAGTAAATTAATAATAATCCCTTTACATGTCTAACACACGGTAGTCTGATCCCAAACTAGGCAGAGCCTGTACTATCGTAACCAGACTGCTGATAAATATGCTCAAATATGATAGACAAATTACACCCGTAGACAGAATGAATGATAGTGTACATCACACAATTATTGGTACCGGGTGGGAATGAAACCTCGACCTCCTGCTTAGCAGTTACTAACCACTAAACCTATAGGCCAGTCAACAATTTGGTGCAATAAAATTTTTACTTAAAATTTAAGCTGATGACTTTCAAAATTAAATTGCTCTAGTTAATTAGATTCCGATATTACTTTCTTCATGTCAATACTTTAGTATGGAATTTAATAATATTTGCAATTTCTTGGAATTGTAACCAATTTGTTGGAGTAATTGTTTTTGCTCTCAACTTCGTTTAAAATAATGTATTTGGTCAACTATAGGCATACTACTATTTTGCTGTACCTATGCCGTTTCATGTGCCTGTTTTTATATCAGTGATCAGTCTGTTGCTATCCTTGACCTATTCTTCCCTTCATTTGTCGTTTGCCTTACCTCTTGACCTTTTCATTTTAGCACATTAAGGTTTCCCCGGGCTAATTTGTTACGCCGATAATAGTTTGGTTACAGACAAAGTTTAATTTCAAACTCCAATGTCCTTGTGTATAATAAGTAAATAGCAGTTGACTCGTAAAAATAGATCAAACAAGAAATAGATAAAATTCATAGTGAATTAATACTTTAATCATTTACATTGGCAAGAGTATTCTGCACTTCGTAGTTCGTAAATGAATTATATTTTCGGTAAATTTTGCTTTTAACTGAACTGATCCTCCGCTACAAGAATTTATCGGATGCTATAGCTGACAAGCCTGTAAAAAGCAACGAACTTTCACCTACCGTTAGGTCAAATTTCTTATATTTTTATACGAGTATATATCCTACGTCGTGAGGGACTTTACAAACATTCATTACTCCACCAAACTCAGAACAACAATTTCTGGATATCACAAAGTGTTCTCCTATGTGAGCATCGAGCCCACAATACTCAGCGCAGTAGAAAACGACGAATTGACCGCATAAAACACTACACCATCCGTGTAGTAGTATATGTAGCAATTAAATTCGTTTCTTCAAGACCTTCTATAACATTAAAAGTAATCGATTGAAAACATTATTTACAAAAAGAATAAAAGCA